CAGTGACTGACAGTAAGTGAAATCAATCGTATGTCATGTGCTGAAGTGCATGTGACTAATTTTCATTAGGTGACCTTATTTACCGCTTGTTAGACAGTGTTGACATAAGTGATAGCATGTTCACACAACTCAGAGATAACTTTGTCATGGACTCCACGTGAAGCATGATTGATGGATGACAGCAATTTGTCTAGTATGAACCTTATGTAACAAAAAATCACAATAATAGCATACAGAATGTCTATAACAGGCTCTTGTATAATAATATTTAAAATGTGAAAAATTCCGAACGAAGCTGTTTAGAATACCACTTACAACCCGAATGATGTTACCGTGAATACATCAGCTATCCAGCTGGAAATCGGTTGGTTTAGTAGTGAGTAACCATTTATCAACATAGAACAAAAACTTTCGAACAAAAACTTTTGATCTCATCAAATAAAGGGCGCAACGATACAAGATGATAGTCAGGTTTTCTACCAGTTCTTGCGTGATGCATCCGGTAGACTGTCTGAATTTGTTTATGCAAGTCGGTTTTCGGTTACTTGGAGATTCTAAGCACACAATACTCATTTGGAACTATGGACAGACGATATTGCAAGTTTCGCACAGAGACGTTTGGCGTGGACAATCAGTCAAAACAAACAAAATACCCATTTGGTCCTCATATACAAATCGTGAAGATGTCTGATTAGTTTTGTTAGAGAAACTCACTTGGATTTTGGCACGTGCATTTTTATCCCAATGAAAAGCACAAGGCAGTGTAGCCCACTTTTACAAACATTTTCAAGAAGTTGTAAACTGCGTTTTACCTACGTAATTGTAGGTACTCTATTGTGTAGCGGTGTTAAATGTAGACACAAATGCGAAAATATCCGTGGTGGTGAGATTCAAGGCAATCTCATAACAGGTGATTGGTTTAAGTGTATCAGGAAGAAAGTGCCAACTTTCTAGATTACGGGAAAATCATCAGGTAATTGAAGGGTTTAGTTTCACTGTTATCAATAAAATCAATGTAGAACAAAGAAAGAATACATTTCAATATCTCCATCATAGTTTCAAGATATAAGTCCAGAGAAACTGCCGTTTTCGATCAGGTTTACGCTTGAATTACCATAAATAACAAATGTAAAAATTTTAATGGCAGATTAAATACACATCACTAATGAGGCACTGACAAAATGGAGTAGTGAATCTTGCTGCCGAATCATAAATAGGCCAAAATTGTATACATCGGAAACACCGTTTTGTCTACAGAAAGCCAAGGACTTTCAAATTTTGGTCATTTAACGGTATTTTGCAAGCCCCGCGAGCGTCAATTATGTGGTTCGTTGCTGCATTATTTATGTCCGTTGTCAATTTTCCGATCGTAAACGGAAGACTGTTCGTCCTTTAGTTGAGCTTATTATATATTTTCTAGGATTTTTTCATGCACTGTTGCTAAATACGCCAGCTGATTAACCGCTTATCACCTCTAAACACAATATACTACCTAAAAGCTTTCTCGCAGCTGATAAAAATGGTAAATTCATAACGGAATCCACAACCAGTTGCCGTTAGACTGATTGTTACACAAGACCAAATTACGCGTCAGACAACTGATAGTGAAACAAGGACTTAAAAATCAACTGCGTCCTACCAACTGAATGCATTTTTGATATCCGAAGGCTGACATATGAGGGTGCAGTTTGGAAAATTTGGTAAAACAAACGGTAGCAATCGCGAATACATGGGGATAAGCTCTGTCTGAGATGTATGTAACGTAACTGACTGCCAACCCAAGACGGGACACGCCAATGGGCAGAGACATTGGCAGATATGCATCAGTCGTGCGTCTCATTCAAGCTGTTGCCTTCAGTAGAAAGCTTCCCGCCAAATTTTTCGAAAAAATGTTCGCGGATACTCAACTAGTCACCCATCAATCATATCAGCTAATTCCTCAATGCATCTCTGGCCACTCCTACATCCCCAGATCATCGACGAACAAAACTGTGGTATGTATAACGTCCACGATGCTTTTGCAGATAAAGATGATGATGAAAGTGAATGTAACTGACTTTTCTTAAAAAAAATTACGTATCATACTTTCCACGATTTTAGAAGCTTTGATGTAGGGATTCACCATTTTCAAACGACAATTTTTCCTTGTGATTATTGCTGATCCTCCCAAGGCGTACTTTGGGCATTACTTTTTCGGCTGACAAGTTTGTTTCCGGTCTTTTCCTCAAATTGAACTAATTAAAAAACGGTGTTCGGGCGAGGTCTCATCAACACTTTAGTACTTTTCAACAGTCATTTGTCACCACACGAACAACCTGAACTCCGACGTGACATGCTTTATGTGTGATCAATAAAAGCTTTCATCTGTGACGACAAATTCCGTATGCCACTGAAAACATCTACGAGTAGCTCGCTGTGACCCGTAAAGTAATGTGTCGTGAATCACACTGATCGCCAATGCTAGGTAGCTGCTTTTGAAAATCAATATATCTTCGTAATAATCGAGCGAAGAAAGTGAAAAAGTTCAGGACAGACGTATTCTATTTGTATTGTATTCTTAATGTCTGGTATATTTACAACGCATGGCCGAATAGGCCGGTGGGGTTGTACCAAACTGAGATAAATTACAAAGCAACAGATGATGAATAAAGGAAGAGTTAGTTGTTTCTACAAGGACAGAGCACGGTAAAACAAGGGTATTGATTCAGGAAGGTGAAAGATTTCACTGCTTTTACTAACTTTCTTAGTCGAACTACGCATTCGTAGGTGTATTGAAATTATTCTTGTGGAAAGGGGGGAGGGGGGCAGATTTCAGGAATTTATTAGTTTTTCTTTCATATACCTTGGGCCTTCTGACGTGTTGAAATATGCATGTTGTTTGAATTCTCAGATAGCGGTGGTTTACCCTTAGGGAGGAACAAAGGACTAATTCCTAATGAGTCATTGCTATGAGGTGATGCACACACAACGTCCAGAGAAAATTTTCAGTCAAAATGGCTCTGTGTTATTCATCAGTATCATCATCATAAACCAACCAAAATGAGCGTTCCACCTAAAGCTCAACCTCTTTGACTTCTTGCACAATTTAGCCGCTCGTTCAGGATGAACGAGATGGTAAGAAAAACCTTGTTTCGGAAGGAAATAATTTTGCACCATTCGGACTGCTGCAGTACATGTGACATGGACTAAATCAGCGACAAATTTCAGAGCCGGTTAAGTCGTCTACTTAGAACTAAAACGTGACCTGGCGGTTGAAGATTTACGCCCACTTTGGGTAACGCAGAAGTCAGTCTTGAAGCAGTTATGTAATATTTCCCAAATGAAAATCCTCATATTCTTTTGACTGCTTCTTGCAGTGACCTGGATTGAGGGACAAAATACAACATTATATCATGCCCCAATTAGTTGCCTATGGTCGGCTTACCTTAGTCTGGATAAGGATCAGCTAAGTTTGCTTTGAACAATGAGCTTTAGTTTTGAATTTCAGCTTCAAGTTATTTTTACCGATTTGTCTCACTGATACTATGAGCAAACCGACAGGTACCGCCAGAAATGTTTGAGCGATCTCAACTAAACTCAGTTTGTCTTACTTTTAGCACATTATTATCCACTAGAAAATCATGTGACCGTCTGATGTACAGTCATCTACTTGTTACCACATGTGAGCCTTTTGCAGTGAAACCTTCCAGGAGACGACAAACATAAATTAAAGGTAACTACTGACAAGGTTGCTGAAAACTCTTCGACAGCCCACGACCGGTTTCGCACTTCTTGGGGCTCATCAGGTAGGCGCAGTCCACGAGTTTTACTTGAACCCAAATTGCACTGTTTTTCGAGAAATACACTAATTTGCAAATCAGTTTGGTTTTCACGGGAGACCCAGTTGAATCTCTCGTTTATGATGTCCTCTAGCTGAATGTGCTGCACACAGGCCGCCTCATGATTCAGCTGGCACAGCATAAAAGAGAGATTCAGTTGAGTCTCCCGTGAAAACCGAATTGATTTATAAATTAAAGGTCTTTTTGAGGGCTGCTTTTCACGGCCTGCATGGTGCATAATTTGTCTGACGGATAAATTATCTAACAAGTTTGCGTATGACGTACATAGCAGAAATATAAATTCAGCTGTTTGATGATTATCCACTTAAAAAATCAGTTGAAAAGTACCAGTAGAAATAAACATGAATTATGGGACTTGTAATTCAGTGCGGCAGTTTTGGGACTCGAAAACCCGGGTTATCCCACAGTCAAGAGTAGTTGATCTGCTGGTTCCAGTCACTGGATTTCTAGATGGCCGAAGTGGTTAGAGCGAGAATTTACTGACCGGAAGGTCGACTTCCCCTGTCTAGGCTTGAGCAACCTGACAGTATCCCAGCCCTTGTGCTTCCTTCGGATGGCATGACAGTTAGGCACCGAAAGGGCGCTACAGCTGTACGAAATTCACCCCAATTTGTCGTTCCCTGGATCAATGGAAGGTTGGTGTTTTTAAAAACGTGCTCAAGTATATAAAATATTCTGTCCTAAGTAGGCCACATTCTGCCCGTATTCTACTTCGTATATTAGAAGCAATTTTGTATTGGTCTTCACCTGGGAACGATATATATTAAAGACACCTAATGAAGAGCACTGTCACAAAAATCTGTCACTTGTCAGCACAAATGTACTGTTGATCGTGGGAAGACTACAGAGACTGTTCAGTCAATCCGGCAGATAGCACAGGCTAATTTTTCAAGCAAGTGAATATGATCAGCATGTGGATGCATGCAATATTATGCCAAATGAACCAGGCATTGAATGAAATGCTGCCGCGAAAACTACTTTTAAGAGAAGAGCTAAGTAATCGAACTTCTTAACGTTTTATGAGTCAACAAAAGCGATGAATTCACCGGAAGGGAAGTCCCCAAACGTCTCCCAAACATTTTACTTACGCTATATTAAGATAAATTCTACAAGTACGACAGTAAATCTGTAAGATAACTGGATTGCAATAGGTGTACACTTGAAAGATGGAGGTCTGGGTGACGAAAGACGCCAATGAAATAAATTCTCAATTTATGGTTCCCGTAGTATGAATTCTACTGTCCACCTTCGGGGCATGCAAAAAACTAGTTCATGGAATCGACCTGTAGAATAGACTCATGAAGCTCCCGCATGCTCAGAATAAAAATGCACTAAAATTTTTAAAGGCTGCACTTGGGCTCTGGCGCCATTAGAAGCCAATTTATATGAAATCCAAATACGTCGCTTGTTCACAATTTTCACTTGCTAAGCGTACCGCAGAACGGCTTCCTAGAGCTTCCTTGGAGGGTTTTCAATAAATGATACGGGTAGAAAACGTTTCTGCCTTACAATCAGATTTTCGTTTTTAAAGCTCATTGCTCAAACCTATTTCTTGAGTTTTTTGAATTCCTATATCACATTTTAAATTCAATTTTGGCAAATGAAAGCCAAGTTTTCATTTTAATTAAGCTCAAAGCCAACTGGTCCGAATGAATCTCCTCTTCATGATGCTTTTTGATGGACGTGATTTGGGTTGAACCAATTTCTGTAGATATCAAAGTATTTTCTTTGACACGACAATATATTGGGGTCTAGCACGGCTAATGTGGCACCTCTTCCTGTTTGTTCAGTTGTTCGCAAACCAAAAGTGAATGGAGCTCAGTAGGCATACGTACTCTACTGAGTAGGCTGAGAAAACCATCACCATGGGTGCTATATGAACTCGATTTTAGAAATGGGAGTATTCTCAAGTTACGAAAAGTCAAGGGGCAGAGCTAATAGAAACTGATCTTTGGAGTATAGGCGGGTATTGAAGGATATACCTGGAGCCCAACAAAAATTTAGTTTTCGAACATATGGAATACAACAACCTGTCAAGCATTTGATCACTTACTTGTTTTGGGAGACATCACAGAAACCACCGGCCCTTCAGAATGAACTATCTCCTTTAGACAAGCTCCACTCCGCTGAAGCTCTTCTGGCTTTTGACTTGGATCTGTGGATGAAGAAGTCCTCCTGTTCATCATAATTTCATCGGCAAAGCGCACCGACTTCCCGGCAGAGCGTGGCGACACAGAACAAAAGCTGTCTGGACTGTCACAGACGCTGTGCATTGTACCATTCGAAGAATGAATATCGTTCCCATTTGATCCGTTTTGAAGTCTCGATGGGGACGATTCTGTTCTGTTTCGAGCTTGTTCCATATTCAACTCAGAAACCATGTTTGGGTGCCCATTCGGTCGCTCGAGACTGGTGGAAGTTGGTGAATAGTTAGATTTCAGTATGCCTCTGAACGGGCTGGTGCAGCGTCGTCTGCACAAAGTTGCGACATCGTTACTGGAACAATCATTTACCATTACTTTCAAGTTTTCCAAGCTCAAACGAACCGGAGTGTGGGGACTGGATAACTGACTGATATGGATGGAATCAGGGTAGAAAAGTCCGTTTTGAGGGGCTCTTTCTGTGGCACTGGTACCATAATGGGCCATCGGAGTGGATTGTGGATCAGAAAACTGGAATTTATCGGCCACAGCATCTGGATATAACAGAGTATCTGTCTGCCTGAATTGTGCTGGTAACACATTCATTCCAGAAACGAGTAACTCTGCAGTAAACTCCACTTCGTTATTTGACTCACTGGTCTTTTCAAATGAAAATAGAGGAGAAATTAATATTTCGTTCAGTTATCATGGACAAAACTTTGTATTGTGTGAGCAACGGATTAATAAATCGCAACGGTGTCAGCGAACCAACAGCTATCAAGTTCTTTGGAAACTAATTGATACTTCTGCTGACACACGCCCGAGATCACACCGTATACGACAGATGGATACATTCCACCAATGCTATGCTGTGCTGTGCTCTTACACGCTACTAGACAGGCGCAGGTTGGTATGGTTGCGATAATCATGGCGTTCCACGTTACACCACACTTAATTGACAGCTGTTACATGGTGTGCACATTGGAGCACATAATTGGCACACTCAAATAAATGGATGACATAAACGTAACGATCTTCAAAAGAAACACATTTTACCAGTTCTGGTGTATACAATTATAGTGTCAGGTTATCTTCTCACATCCACGATATCAAGACAAGTGGAAAATGGGCAAAATTTGGCTACTTCTAAGTTGGACGGTGAGCACACAGTCGATATTGCGCACGGGTGGTATACAGACTACGGTAATTGATTCTAGGATCAGAGCTTCAATACTTTTCAAAGCCTTTTGCGTTCGCGCCAGCTTAGATCTTTGCCATTTTCTACTCAGCCAACTAAGCTCCTAAAAAAAAAGCCACAAAAAATTGTTCCTCATCTGGTTAACAAACCAGCGAAGATGACACAATTAAGTTCAGAAGACTTCAACTCCGAATTGTGGACTTCAAAACTTGATAATCCTGACATTCTATCTATTTTCACTAAGCTGAAAATTCTATGTTAAAGTTATTCAAGGAATTTTCAGAGCCCATAAATTATCCTCCGAATTTACAAAACTGGAGCTCGTGAGGGAAATATCAGTATTCAAAATGTGATACAACATTTGCAATTTATTTCCCTCAGATTCATGGTAGCTCCAATTAGCTCCATCAACATAACGCTTATGTTTCAATTGCGAACTTACACCATTTGCCTACGGTCAGTATTACCGGTGTACTGCTTTCAATTACGTTAACGGTAATCAGTCAGGAAAGGCACGTCTCATAGTTTTTGTTCCAGTGAGAACCTGATTCGCTCATCTATTTGTGAATCTGCTCTTCAAACGAATCGACCAGTCCACCAAATTTACATACTCACAAGGAGCTCTAGATGTTATCTACACCTTTAAATATGAAAGTAGTGGTCGGATAACATTGGTGGAAAGAGCGTTTGACAGTGCCAGACTTTGAATTTGTTTATAGCTACTCTTAACCAAAACCTCGATGCTCGCGAATGTGTACTGGAGCATGAATGCACCACACAGCACAAAAACTACCTCCACTGAACGTATGTTCCCGATTTACTACAATCGCTGTCTTTTGACTTAGTTGTTTACTTTTCATATTGGCAATCATCGTTCTGCAGCACTACTCTGAAGTATGCTATATTCTTCGAGGGACGACCTATCGTGAGGTTAGAGAAAAGGACGAGATTGAAAATTACACTTTTTCAAATGTTGTATCATAATGCTTTGTCAAGCTAGTGCTTTTTCTTTAAACCACACCGTTTAATGCCAGGTACTGACAACTAAGATCGTTCTCCCAGTTGTTTGTGCGCATGGATTTTACGGATACGCTACACAAGAAGCCCACCTGCAGACGTTGTGTCCCATGACTTGAATGGACACCGCTCCTATATTTGACGTAATCAAACTGTGTATGAACATTAAATAAACTGCGGTCGTATTGACCAGAACCTCCTCTATGAGTAGTATGGCAGATTAATAAGACATTGTTTAGCTGCAAACTTTGGTTTCAACTTATTCAAGCAACCCGTAACACGCACCAAGTAGAAAACGTCTGTGTGAAATTAAGCAGCTTGTTGACGTAAACACCGTTGCCTCCTGAAATGTTATCGTTAGAGGCAAGATATCACCTGATGTGGCGTATTTTATTTAAAAAAAGGCGGACTTTGGGTGTGTGAATAACAAATTTGGCTAGTGTTGTAGGCTGCTTATGCTCGTTTCCCCGCATGGGATTCCTAATCAAATGGAGACGATGCCATTGGATAGCTTGCCATTCGCAAACCCGAACGGCATTACTAAAACTTACCCCTTAGAAGAAACTGGGTTGTTCGGATAGTTACAGTGGTTGTTTTAGGAGAATATCAACAATGGATAGCTTGTCTCCTAAGAATGTCCAAACGTTTGGGAATGCTTGCCTATATTTGTAGTTGGTACAGAATCATATGATCACCTATAGCAATTGCAACGAATTCCGACTGCAAGTTGTTCGCTTCTTATTTCAAGACTTATTAAACTGATATTCACATCGCTGTAATAGTGAAGTCCTCCTTTCCAATTAAATTTCGTCCCGCTTGTGACTACGTCTACGTCAAAAGCCAGGAAGCACTGCACGGGAGTTGGAACTCTATTGAAATCATCAGCGGTGCACAACCCACAAAACCCCGGGGATATTGTACTCCTGACCTTCGTACACAGCCTTTCTCGGTGTTCTGGCCTAGAAGAACTCTCCACTAAATTTTCTACATTCCTTCCTCCCTTACTCATACCTCTATTGAGGTTAGTCCACACAAAAAATGGGTGCAATAAAACCTGGTCTTACCTACCTTGAGGCTATTTAGCAGCATACTTAACTCCACTGAATGCTAAGTTTCCCGGACAACCACGAGGACATCACTTTTAAAGTACTTGAATTTCCAGTTTTTCTCATTTTTTCTGCAGCTTATTAACTAGGTTTGTAAGTAACGCAAAAATTAATGAACAAACCAAAAATGATGGCTACTAAAGCATTTCTGGCGACTTTTTATCCTCCAACAAACTTGTCTGTTCTGAGTAAAAGTTGTAACGCACAGATGCATGAGAATGGGGACGGGAAAATACCAGTTTTTCCTGATGACATAGTACGTTTTTGAATCGCGCATGTTCGTGAACTACAAACATCTTATGTGTTTTTTTCTCCGTCAGCTATTTTTTTATTCAATAGTGTCCATTCCTCCATGTCTAGCTTTAAATCAGTGGGAGCAGAAGGCGATCGGTATATGCTATCTCCGATCAAATCTGATACCGTGTCTGACAAGACGGAGGCTAGCAGTACTAGTCTTCAGGCCACTCTTCCAGTTTTCAAAATTGTACCATAGATGTTAGTCTATTCAGCGTGGACGCCCTCAGTATATGATCGGTTAGGTTGATTCACATATTTGCCACCTATGTTGAAAATGACTTGAATATTGAAATTTTTTGCAGTCGGTGTTTTTTAGGTTTCCTTGTGAAGAATTATTCGTGCGGGCGGAAAAGTACATCCATCGTTGGTAGTTCTTTCTTAATATACACAAATCAGGTTCGTACATGTTTTTCGTTGCTCTCTCATATCCATGGTTAGGGTGAGTGGTCTTTTACTGTATGGTCCTTCTTCGCAGGTCGGGAAGCAATTGATTGGCTGTACGTCGAATTCTGTCTATTTCACAGCATTCTCCTCTGTTGCCTGGACAGTGAGTTGGTCGAAAGTAGTCCAGCCACCAGCGTGTATAAATACCTCCACACAGAATCTTTCCTCGCACAGGGGAACGTTCGTCGGAGTACACGTAGAGATGGCCTGCTTTTGCTAACGTTTCATTTGGGGATCTCGGACTGCTTGCTCTGCTGCCAGGGGCAGTGTACGTGGAGAATAAAATGTCACCTCACCTGAACTCTTTCACTGCCAGCCTGAGCGTCGTCGTAATAACCAGGAGTTTTTATCCCTTGATGTCTCCGCTTGCCCCAGTTTTTCCTTACCGATTTCCTCAGATCGTCCGCAAAAATAGGCACTCATAGTTGTTTGCATCAGGGGTCTTGTGCACGTTCACGTTCAACACTATCCTACCACAAACCCTCCAAGTGGACAGCTAGTGACTTTGGGGTGGTCGCGAAGCATACCATCCACTCTATCACTGAAATGATGATGTAGATGAAAGGCCTGAATCCAACTCACAGTGTTGGTGAGAGACCAATCCTCTCAGGAATCAAGCAAATTTTTGTGATCAACGTCAATGAATTCATTGAGTGTTCTGATCACTTAGTTCACTCGTCTGGCTCATTCATCTCAAGCCAACAGAAATTTGGTAGCTGTCGGCTTGTTGTGAACTAGTGTTGTCTCGCTGGCCTTCATGCAGGAAACTAGACGTTTTTGGTGTTTCTGAGTCCCGCGATCAAGCGGTAGTTTTTTTGAGATGTTCTAAGCTTCTTCTCGCGAAATAGCTCAACCAATGCCTTCTTGCGAAGCTATTGTACCAAAACCAGTCTCAATGCACTCGTTAAGTAGTACTGAAACCGGTGCTGCTAAAACTGGAGCTAGGCGACAGGGCACTGCCGGACGTCCTGAAGGTCTGCTTCTTTGCACAAATAGACCGCACTCGACACGAATTCTACACTGCCCGTCAGTGTGAAAAAAAGAAAGCGATAGATCACCCGGTGGAAGTTCCTTCTAGACGTACACTAAAACGCGATGTGCGCACTCGTTTTCGCAAGTCCATAAACAAGGTCGGTTAGCAGCAACACGCCCTTCGTAGCCGCTGGAATTCGATCGAATGATATCTGTTATCTGTTATCTGCGTAGCCTAGCAGCCCAATGTGGACTTGGGAAGCCTGGAAACGGCTCGAAAAACTCGTACATTGTGTACTGCTGATGTGTGCACAGCTACGGGCTTGCAGGACAGTCCTAACGTGTTTATTACTAATGCCTCTCAGGCAACCCGCAATATCCCTGCTTTAAAGCTAGGTATCATTGCGGATAACTAGTTTTTGGTGATCGAAGTTGAGCGAAGAAGTAGTAAAACTACTTTTCACAACACATGGTATAACCTTCTACAGAGAAAAGTCCAAGACGACTTTGAATAGAAACGAATGGTAACTAGTATTCGTGATTAAAACTTGGTTGACATGTTTCACGTGTCGGCTGAAAATTTTGACCACCGTCACTCATGGTATTTGGTAGTCTGAAATGGAGCTGGAATTATCTAAGTGGTTAGCTGGGTGCTGCTAAGAAGCAAACTTTTGGGTGGTCTGTTCGATAAACGAGTCCAGCTGCAGTCATACTGGAACTGCAGAATATGGCCTTTCATTCACACAGTTCGAAGGTGACCATTGTGGAGACTTGACGACGGTAAAACAAGAAATCACCGCAGTCACCACCGAATCCTACAGTGCAATCTCTACGCAAGAAATGCCCGCCTACAAATGAAATTTATCATTTGATATCAAATCGATAACATATTTGACTGAATGTTTTCTATACGCGCTCAAGCAGTGCACAAGCACCCAAGAACAATTGGCTTGTGAAGTCTGGACCACGTGACTACCGATGGGCAACACACATTAGTATTTGCAATCGCTATAGTTCACCTGAGTTTCCCAGTTCACCACACCTGTTCAGTGACAGTTGATAAAAAGCATCAGGCACTTGGTTCTGTGCTCTTGAGAGAAACTGTCTATTAAAATTCTAGTTCACCAATCTTAAGCACCTATGGCCGATTCACAGGGCTCGTCCATCATTAATTCTTCGGCTGAGTAGCGACGTGCGGACTATACGATTTGTATGTACAGGTACAGATGGCTAGAGTTGGTGCAAACGTCATCTTTTGCCACATACATGCAAGTTCTTACTTTTCCAAGGGGCAGGCCATCCACGTATTGGACGTCTATCTCAGTGCGTCCTATCCTTTGACACTTTTGTAGCTGTGACAACACTGCCTCGAAGCATACATCTGGTGCATCATAATAGCTGTGTAATGTAAAATTTGGTCCATCAAAAATCATTGAAAAAACAGTTGAACAGAAATAAGTTCTCTCGGGAAAAGAACCATAGGAACTTTTACTGTTGTGACGTAGGCTTTCTTAATGGTGCAGAAGTAGCAGCAGCGCTTTTTTAGAGGGCGTAATTACTAGGAAGGTAGACTAGGTTAGCATTTCCAACAGCCAACACTAAGGAAATATATGTTTTTTTCTATGCATGGTCTGACTCGGTCCTTTGAACTCGTATGACAGAAAATCCATTTTAAGAACCGCAGGTTTGCTGTTTTAAGTATAAGTCGCATATAATTGCCGTTCTTCGATCCCGTATGGCATCGAAATTTTCGCTTTGACCCCAAAAGCGGGTTTTATACCTATTAGTTATGAACCTTCCCAGATTTGTAAAGGAGTACTTAGGAAACGTTCGCCCCAGATTAAAAACATGTGTTGGTAAAGCCAAACCTGTCTAGGGAAACCTGATCAATACTGTTCCCAATTCTCCGTATGAGGCGCGTATAAGCGAGCACTTCGTATATCCAGCTTTGAAAAATTCTTTTCCACGAACAACCTATAACAGCCTATAACCTTGTTAGGCGTCGGAAGAAAGAATTTAGCAATAATTATTTCTAAGGCAGTAATTACCAGTATATGCACTTATCTGGGACATTAGATTAGTCCAGTAATATCCGTTTGAAACATTATTCAGTGTTTCAGAGATGACCTTTCGTGCGGGTAGACGAATAGGTCTTGGTGACGAACAGCAACTGGTCTCGCACTGCTTTAAAAGGGCATGGGATGCTGTTTGTACATAATTCTGTCGGAAGTATCGAGGAGCTTTGAAGAACTATTCTGTGATATAAAGAGCGATGTATTGTGGCACTGTATTATAATAAACGTTTACTGTTTGTAACCGATTCATACATTAACACGTATGGTTGTTCCGATCCTTCTAGCTGAATCCTCACAAGTGGAACTTAGTAAGTCCGCCAAGTCGTAGGGACTTCTGTAGATACATTTATGGACACATATTTACCAGAGCTTCCGGTGAAGAATTCTCTAATGAGAATCTTGCTCTCTTTTAGAAGTTATTTGTCCCCTGAGCAACTTGGATATTTTTGGTGGTCCGAGGAGGTTTGGGAAGTTTTAAGTGAGGCTTTGTCCCCCAACTGAAGTGAGTCTATACTAAAAAGCCTCTAGGCTTTTGTCCTGAAAGCTCGACTCGGCTTATACATCTATATTCATGGGCTGATGAAAATATTATCCGACAATCCAATATGGTTATTTGTTGTATAAAACAAAGCAAACTCCCCTACCTAGTTAAGTGATCGCAACCCCAAAATGGTCAAAATCTAAGTTGTTGGTGCGGAACAGGTCACTGCGCTGCGCTAACATGTAAGTGTATCCCTATTGATTTTACCTTTTTAACCAAAATAAAACGAAATAAGCATAACAGTCAGCCAAGATATCTCTGCGAAGGAGATCCGGGACAAACCATTATGTTTTCACTTCAGAAATTTTCTTTTGTCTCTGGTAACTTTAATGGAATGTTCTTCCTCGTCTTACTGTAGTTCCCTGTTGAGCATAAAGTTGATTATTGACGAATGATTCAATCACCGGCTACATTCTTCGGCAGCACAGAAACGTCAACGTGAAACGCGATCTCATTATTAAGACTGCCTCAAGAATCCATCGTCCTTTAACCCAGGTTGAACTCCTTCTTAGGCTCGTCGAATGTGACTATGCTTTTGACTCCACCACCTCGAGAGATAAGCCAGTTTGATTGATACAAAATGTACTTACTTCATTCACTATGGGTTCTGATATCCGATTAGACGACCTCCGATCTCGTTTGCTGGACACTTCTTGCGGTTCGGTCTCCCTCATAAGTGAAGCTGTGTATGATGATGCTATTCGCACTACCGGAGCAGTGCTTGCTGTAAATTTTTGCGCTTGTGGCGTTTCGCACTCAAGTGGAGGCGTCCCAGTCCTTAGCCAGTTTAAGGAACTGGCGTTTGTAAGCATAAGGGTAGGGTTTGTGTCAGATTCTTTACAAGCAGAAGTCGAGGGGGCAGCATAAATTAATGAAATTGGTTCCTCATCAATTTCCAGAGCGGAAGGAGGTGTAGTTTCGTTAGTCTCCCCAGAGTGAGAAAAATTCCCATCGTCGGATCGCTCTCTCAGTTGCTGTTTTGCTGTAAGTTGATGCTGTGTACCAACGAGGGACTGGTGTTCAGTGAATCTGGTGGACATTACAGATTCTCCATTGTAATTCATGTGATTTCCGAAGCCATCTGTTTGGATATTTATGGCTCCAAATGTGGGTAGTTCATTTTCTGCCTCAGGCTCCTGAGTATCGTAAAAAAATTCCATATTGTGAGTGAAGATTTAGGACTCCCACAGTGCATGCAAATCTGAAACTCTTTAAAACGAGCTACAAAATTAGACAATATACAAAACTAACCAGCTAAACCATCAGCTTGGTATAACGTTTTGCTGGAAAGAAGAAAAATATTGTTTTAAAAACTTTATTGAAACTCACGTTTACACTACCCTGATTTAAACAATACTCCCCTATCTTGGCGCAATTATTCTGGTGAATCCACACTAAACAGAGAGAGAACTGGACCCTAGTTTTGCTCTTATTATAGACACCAGCAATGCATATCCTTGGTTTTATCGAGGTTTGAACTGCGAGCAGCTGGCATGAAAGGCAAACATAATGCCACTACCGCACCAACGCAAGCTACGCACACCTGAATCATTACGCCCAAAGACTGATGTGATGTCCTTGATGATGAGAATGATGACACCTAAACAGGCTACTGTGTTCATGTCTAATTCAAAAGCTTTCATATAAAATATACGGATTCGTTGGATGATACTTATCCTCTTCTGCTGGCCATGCAGTTACAAGCCTATATTAAATCCCAACACCCTTAAAAGCGTTTGCTTGATTTGTCCAGGGAAATATCACCAATATGTGAATTTGTGCGCTCGCTGATAACAAAGAGCGGCTGCAACTTAAGTTATCTGTATTTTGGAAGTCTGTCTAATTTTTTTTGTAAAATATACTTTATAGTTAAGATGCACACTCGACAAGATTCTTGTCACTTCCATAGTGTGTGCAAGCTCTGTAGAAAAACAACTATTTTCCAAGAAAGTGTACGTTGACCAGTCAACTACCGGTTTGCAAGTAATGGAGACTGTAGGCACAGGGATCCGAGGAGACATCCAGGCAAGCAACTTTCCAAGTTATTTCACTAGGTGACTGGGGACACCTCAAGGTCTGGTATTTCGGAAACATTAAAACTGAACATATTAATTACACCCTCATGTCACGCCTCATACCTAGATTTTTTCATCTGAGGCCGTTCTCCAGAAAGTCAAGTTAATAGAATGTGGCAGCTTGCACCTTCAAGCTTGAAAGCTATACTGTTCCAACTTGCTAGATGCCTCACAGTCACCTTCAGTTTTCAGTACAATCCATATTTTTGGCCAGCTAACCACACTCGCAATTATCCTACAATAAGATCTTATACAATTTGACACCTCCAGATTTTCAGCTATTTACATTGTGTATCCTCCCTACTTTTTCAGGTCAAGTTAGGAAACGATGTCTGTGGACTTCAGCTTCCTGCAAAAGATCTGACTATAGAAGTACATCGTCCTCTGCGAAGCTTGACACAACCTTGTGAACCATTTTTGCGTTCTGCACTGCCTTGTTTTGTAAAGCGTTTTCGTATCCACATTGTCTTCTAAGCAAACTACTAGTGAGTCAGTGTACCACTTAAATCGAAATTTCGACGGTACGCGTTTCATGTAAGTGGGTTAAAATATGCTTGTGCTTGTACGCACAAGGAAGAAAATTCTCTTTAAATCGGCGAATTATCTCAACCTTTTTCATAGCCGAACTTTGGTGAAATATTGAGGGCCAAGTGGGTTGTAAAAAAGTCTTTGCGCTACCTTGTTATTGATATTAAAGTAGTTTCGGACAGAAGAGTCAGGAGCCAAGAGTCGCAGAAGAACTCACCACATCACTTTGTTTAGAATATTTAGAGGGGAAGATGCTGGCCTACTTTTTTTATACCTTTAAACACAATCCAATAAGATAAATCTGAGTTGTTAGTATAAACTTCGGCCATATTGCTAGGGCTACTGAACCACTCATTTCTATGCAGTGCCAAGCAAAGTGACTGTGCTGGCCTAAAGAATTCGTACAAGTGCCCAGCAGACTTCTGATGGTCGCTCGTCAGTGGACAAGCTGCCAAATCCATACTGCCTTGCTTCACCAACTAGGTGAAACAGACGATTTTATGGAAGTAAAATACACAAAGATAGTGTCACCCTCACACAAAAACATGAGTGATATTTACTCATTCGGTTAGACCACAAAAAAATTAAGCTGCACTCTTTAGTAAAAAGGTTGGATTGTTACGTTGATGTAGTGGGTGGTAGTCCGGTATGCGTTTGTTGGAATGTGTTGTCAGTGGTCATCTACATCTTTAGAAGTATGCGGAAAAGAGAAAGGTATTTTACTGACGAGTCTTTAAATAGACAAAAAATTCATATTAATGCTGCGCAAAAGTTGTGCCTTCTTACTTCAAAAAGAACGACAAAAGAGGTGTACCAACTAAACGCAGGTGTAATTCCATCACCGTCGCTGGAGATTTCCCCCCTCATATCTGCAAAATCTAACTTATGCACACCTGGTAACGTTGGAAAAACAGTGACCTGCATTTGCCCACATAGGAAAGATGAAGGTTCAACTAAGGTTAAAGCTGTTGGTATTTGAACGTTTGGTTTTTTTATTTAAGACATATACATTCACTGGTTGAACGTCATCCAGTTCAGATCCATACATTTGCTTTGTTGCTGACAAGTGATGCATCAATCACTTTCAAACCAGTGTATTCTGTCACCGGAGTGCTCATTTTACGGCTACTGTCTTCTGAGGTATGATCGACCATCAGCGGCAAAATACCAATACCTTCCCTTTAAAATGTGATGCACAAGCCCACATTTTTCTGATGCGTAACCATCTCGGCCTTTCGCTAATCCCTAATTCCTATCCCGAAACAACAAGACAGGATTTGGCAAACAGCTCTTTTCTAATAAACGCCTCTGTCTTCTGATACTGACCTGCAATCACATTCTTGAGAAGCATTCCCCCTAGTTCCGGTCTAAAACTGACCGACAATGATGAATGATGATAAGGCACCCGAACAGAGATACTCCTTTTACAAGCAGTTCAAAGTTACGCTAAAGGATAATCTAAATTCAATTCAAATAAATCGCCCTTCAATAGCGAAATATGTAATAATGTGCGCTCGATGCTGGCATCGTGAAATTCAAGAACGACTTTATAGTCCTCACAAGCACACTAGTCTTCTCGGGCAATGTAGAAATGGTCCCAGTTATCTTATCTCTCAAATAACAATGTACTCATAAAGCTACTTTTGTCTCATTTTTGGTCAAATTAGTTGTACCCTGCAGAGACCCAGCGAGATAATCAATTTTCTTCATCATCTTGTCAGCACCATTATTGTCACCATTGTGATCACAAGCACCGAAGGGTGACACTAGTTCATGTTTTCGTTTATTCGAATAATGGGAGAAGGAACGAAAGACGTCCAGAATTAAACTTGGAGAATAGAACACAGAACTCATGAATTAGCTTTTATAGCTTGCAGCTTGAAGAATAGATCCCCTTTAGTAAACTAACTGGAATTTCACTAAAGGTTTAAGAATGAACGCGGCGTTTTATCATTTGGGATTGTATATCAGAGCATCATTGCGATTCGATATCTCGTCTTTATCCCGACAAACAACGTCTACTAGTTATGCAAGGCGTTCCAGCCAAGACTACCCTGGTTCTAAATCCTACCATTGGTTCTTCAGCACTCATCCGTTCTAAGTCCAGTTGGGGCTACGCAAAAATCAATTGGCCCAAAAGTCACCCTGTCTGCACTCAGGTAGCATAATTAGTCAGCAACGTATATACTTATATATTTATTTTTTGGCCTGCGGTGTCCTTTCACAGGCACACCAAGCTTCGTAATACCCCACTTTTCACCATGCCATCTGGCTAGATAGAAGCTAGTGGAGAGAGATAGTGGTGGTCACTGCTTGACTTTAAAATAATTCAGAATAATTTGCTCTATGAGAACGAGTAAGTGTGATATTATCTTCTCCGTCCTCAAACCAGCTCTTTGTGGTCCCTAACGGTACTTCCTGAATGAGTATACATAACAAATTGTTGCACTGCTTTTCCGACAAAACTCAGTGGAACAAACAGCTGTGTACCGCGCCTCAGGCGTTTCCCTGCTACAAGACAAACGGTATCCTAAAACGACGACAGTGGGGACAACAGACCGACCCAACCAGTTGATCAGTGACTGATCACATTATATCAGGCGCTGAACCCGTTGTAGCCACCTGAGAAATATATAATTCTGGTTGCTCAACAGTACTGCATTACCAGTCGGGTGTGGCAGCAACGAGTTCACCAACGCTATTCGATGAGGTCACGTTCCTTTTTGTGCCCCTTCAGGCTTTTCTGTGATGCTGTGACAGCTTATGCACGGCAACGCCTAAACGTCAGCGGTCATTGGGTTTGACACGTGTGGTACGTGGTTATCTTGTCCCGGGACATACAAGCATGTCAAATATGTAACTTTCCCGATCCTCAATCGTAAGATGCTCCAATCAAATCAGCAATATTTGTCTTTTGGATGTCAGACACACTTAGGTGTGTCACGGTCCCAAATGTTTAACATATTTCATTTGATTCCCATCAACTAACCGGCCTGTAACCTTCCATATGCAGCAAGAGATTTTTATCTGTTTTTACAACTGAAAAATCATTCGCGAACAAAATTCAGGGTTAGTTCTGCCAACAGATTCAGGCAGTCCGCCGTTATTAAAAGTGAAGTGATCCTAGAATAGTCATGTCCTGAAAAGTGCAGAACACAGGTAAAGGCTTTTGAAGGATGCGCGATACTATATATTTGTCTCAGTGGTACTGATCAAGGCACTGATTTGGAAGGGGAGTTATCATATAAGTGTAAGACATTGGATGTTCTAGCACTGTCCAAAAACTGTTAGGTGGCTCATCATCATTAGCAGCAGCACAATATCAGTGTTCAACTACTGATGCTTCGCTGTCTTACAAACACAATTTATCTGAAAGCCTTGGTGTAAAGAAAAAATAAGTTTAACTCCGGAAAGATCGGAAGAAAACCATAGCTAGCGTTGTGTGTTGTACTTGCACTTAAATTTCTTCAGCCAAGTAATATTATCCACATCAGCAAATTAGTTTTTCAGGCATTTCGAGTTGAATAGCCTGA